GACAAAGCTTTTTTAGAGTCCTAGAAAAAACAAGTTATACAAATAAATTATTTTATTTTGTATTTAATTTGCACAAATTTGTAATTAATAATAAAAATTAAACAAACATAATTTATTGAAATTTAAAATTGAAATTTTGGTATAGATAAATAGAAAATAGTTATTACTAATCATATTCATACTTATATCTTAGAATATTTTTTTTCATATATTTTTATCATTTAAATCGAAAGAAAAATTTAACTTTTAAAATATGTATTACAACTCATACAAATTTGATTATAATTATTCATCACCCTGGAGTAAATAAAAGCTTATTGAAATTGGCCCCATAATTGTTTGATATGACACATGAAATAAATATCACTTCTATTGAATCTGAAAATATTGTTCATAAAAAACATCGATAAAATAATTAATAATTTTTTAAGATTTGCTATTTACCTAACAATAGCCAATTTGTCCATTATTATTCTAAACTTAAGTTCATTATTTAAAATTAATTTATTAAGCAGCTCCACTGCATCATACAGTGAATTCCAACATGTCTCGTTAGGTGTAATTAAATAAACACCAAGATTTTGTTTAAATAAATCAGCTGACTTAGTTGAGCGACCTTGTTTATTCCACAAAACGGTACTTGGCAAAAGTGCTTCTTGACTGTTTTTTGTATGCAAGATTAGACAAAGCTTTTTTAGAGTCCTAGAAAAAACAAGTTATACAAATAAATAATTTTATTTTGTATTTAATTTGTACAAATTTGTAATTAATAATCATCGCTCTATGCAAATCTATGAGTTATAGGGCATGTGTGTATGGTGGATTGGATGCATGCCCCGTCGCATGCTAGATGTAAGTGAAAAAGCGGGAATTCAAAAAGAAATTATGTTGTATAGCTGCCGCAATTTTTGAGTGTCTAGGAAGCAGTCACCCGCTTCGATTTTGAGCATAGTCTGGCAGGTAGACCATCCGACTTTGTCGTATAGCGGACGACATGCGACGGTCGGGTAACACAATGAGGCAAGCAATCCAAAAACTGTGACTGAGTGTCTAGCGGTCTCTCCTCGTCTGGTGCATTACCATGCCCCGCTGTATGCCCGATTCTGTTTTGTTATATTTTGAAATTATTCAAATATCTGCTGATATATTTTTAGAGTACATAAATAATTCTAAACAATTTACCATCTAGTGTGTGAGTTGCAGCTAGGTTAAATGCATGTTCGACATCAGTAACGTGTTCATTACAAAATTTGCATCCAAAGAGAACTACGTGGAGGTCGTTGAACTTTCTCTCTTCCGCGAGTCGTACTTACGACTGCTTATAAACCATGTGTCACACAGACTTGGATCACACAGATCGGATTCGATGTTCATTAATTTACCTGCCGAAAGCCAATTTGTCCATTATTATTCTAAACTTAAGTTCATTATTTTAGATTTATTTATTAAACAGCACCACTGCATCATACAGTGAATTCCAACGTGTTTTGTTGGGTGTAATTAAATAAACTCCAAGATTTTGTTTAAATAAATGAGCTGACTTGGTTGAGCGACCTTGTTTGATTCACAAAGCGGTAGACTTGGCAAAAGTTCTTTTTGACTGTTTTTTGTATGCAATATTAGACAAAGCTTTTTTAGATTCCTAGAAAAAACAAGTTATACAAATAAATTATTTTATTTTGTGTTTAATTTATACAAATTTGTAATTAATAATAAAAAATTAAGCAAACATAATTTATTGATATTTAAAATTGAAATTTGGGTATAGATAATAGAAAATAGTTAATGCTAATCATATTCATACTTATATCTTAGAATATTTTATTTCATATATAATTATCATTTAAATTGAAAGAAAAATTTAATTTTTAAATGTATTACAACTCATACAAATTTGATTATGAGTATTAAGTGTTAAACCTACTACCAAATAGTTTTGTCCTGATCACTATACTTACTCAAAATATATTCTTTTCGATAAAAATATTTTTAGTATTTTATAATTTAACTATATTAAGCTATCTTAAATAAATGTTTAATTACCATTGTTGCTATTAAATTTATTTTGTGTGCACAACATCAATGGTGTTTTGGTAATGCATATAGCAAATCATGGTCTTCATCATTTAGAATGTTCTCGAGAATGTGCAAGTTGAATGCGTCGATTTCTTCTAAATCATTGACAATCGTATCGTTCACCAGCAATGTATCAGTGTATTGTCATGTAGTCAAGTAAATATCAACTACTTTTGTTAATGTTGCAACTAAAAACTATTTAATAAAATAAAAAATAAAAATAAACAATACACATTCTTACTTTGACTAGTTATATTTTTGTTGTTTAAAAAATCTTCTAAAACTGGTTGTTTTTATTAGATTGTCTAGAACTACCAGCATTATGCTTCAATAATCCATCATTTCATCTCCTTCAAGTGTTTTTGTTCGTTGCATTTTCAATGTGATCAATTTTCTTTAATATAGTTGAATGTTGTGTCTGAATAAAATGAAATAATATAACCTTTTACTTAACATTATAAGTTTTGATAAATAATTTACACTTTTTAATCAGTGGCGCAACTGGGATTTTTTTTTTAGGGGGGAGGGGGTTATTTATTTTATTTTATTTCATATACACAAGAATACTGGGCCCTTCTGAGATGACTCGTGTGGGGGCCCAGGAAAATACATAATATAGAATAATGAGATTTATGATACATCTTAAGCACTTGAAATTTGAATTTTAAAAATCTGTGCGCCACTGTTTTTGATGTATTTTTGTAATATATTAGGTATTTGTGTGGTATTTAAAATTAATTTAACACACAAGATAATATACATGGGTCAACTGTCATAGGCAGGTATGAAATTAACATTGTACTTACACTTAAATGTTTTCTTATATTAGAGTTTGAACGTGAATCCACCTTGTAACACTTTGTACCGACACAACTTAAGCACTTCACTACCAGTTTCTTGTAAAAAAAATGGATAATCTCTTAATAGTTAATACTTTAAAATATTTTTGATGATTTGGCCAGAGTAAAATTGGTTCTTTCGAATCTGCAACCTGATCGACTTCAATTGAAGAATCGCAATCACTCATTGTATTACAATTTAAATAAATTTAAACAATGAAAACAAGAGTATAGGGTTGATGCAATACAATTATACAATTATAAACAATCTGTAGGGACGTCCAAGCAGACAACAGCGAACACGATACGAATGATACGAACCCAAGTAATAAATATTACAATAGTGTAAAACAGCGTAGGGGGCTATATATGCAATATTGTAATAGTATAACTGATAGTGCGCTAATGACCAATTGGCAATTGGTCATTCGTAGTCCGTACACACAAAAATAATATTATTTTCTAATAAAATTATGAAAATAAGATAATACCATATTCCACATATTATGATGGTGCTATAGCCATATTCATTTATTTATAGCAGTCAGCAGAATCAGTTATCACTTATCAGTCAATATCAATGTTTATGTTTCATTTAAAGTTCATAAATTGACAAAATATGGAAAAATCACTAAAATTAGCAAATTTTCAGTTAAAAATTGGTAAAAATTTTTCTTTTTAAATCTAAGGTTTTTAAATGTAGTACAAGATTCCTCATAAGTTTGTCTACCTTTATCAAAAAAAAAATTTCAATAAGAAAGTCAAATTAAATTTTTATGAGAGTTTGAAATTCAAATTTTTACAACATTGGATATTCACTCGATTTCTCATGTAGCGATTTCCTTGAATTGTGTCTTATGTAAAAGTAAATAGGTAGGTTAGGTTAACCTAACCTCTCCCGATGGGCTAATAGACAATGATAGTCTCGTCGAAATTAAATGTCCAGCGTCTGCCAAGAGTTTTACTCCAGAAGAAGGAATTTTAATGAAAAAAATAAAAAGTTGCACTATTGAAAACGGTCAACTACATCTAAAAAGAAACGATAATTACTTTTACCAAGTCCAGGGTCAACTACACATAACACGCAAAATGTTTTGTTATTTTTGTATCTGGACACCTAAAGGTAATATTATTTTATTTTGAACTAATAGGATTCTAATTGAAATTTATATTAAATTAAGTTATTTGTATACAGGTTTATTGTATGAAAAAATTAAAAAAGACGATGATTTCTGGGATAAAAATATGAAGTCTCAACTAACAACGTTTTTTATAGATTACTTTTTATCCGAAGTTTTAAAAGACAGTCTAATATTGAATGAATAAATATAATATTTACGAGAATTGAAAGTTACATTTATTCAAACCCTTTTTTAAAAATGTTATTATGAATCATTTATCACGATGGTCAATTCATTTTTTGGTTCATAATCTATGTAAAATAATTAATAAATATTAAATAATAATAAAAAAAATGATTACGTATTTAAGTATTAGCGTAAAAATATAAATTACGGCGGCCGTGGCGACTTGTCATATTATCCGGTTTATGCAGTTATATTGGGCGTCGTTATCAATTTATCATTACTATTGTTTGAAGTTTCGTGGAAACGGCTCACGCACACTAACATTCATTTACTTTGCACACACATACACGCCACTAGACTAGTAATGTAGATAATTGCCTATACATAACTCCTTAGAAATTGTAGTGCTACAGCCCCCTTAAAATTTTTTTTTTTTCATTAAAAATTCACAGTCTGTACACAATAATTACTGTAAGCAAATTAGATAAAGAAAAACAGAATAAAATAGATAGGTCGCACCCGCATATTATGTTGTCTCCGTACGCAGTACACACTACGCACGTACAACGTACCGCCCATGACAAAATATTTATTTTGTCATGGTACCGCCGTACGGGTTGACATATCTAAAGTTCGTATAATATTTCGCTATAATACATGTTGCCATAGACCGTCAGCGTCATTAATGAAATATTTCGTGATGCTATAAAAAAACGGCTGTGACGATATAGTGACATGGCTGGCATTTGGACGCACACTTGGTCAAGGCAGAAGACGGGACATGACATGTGAATATATTATTATTATGTAGATTTCGTTAGTAATGACATCTTGGCCAGGTGCAACGGCGGGTTCGTTTTAGTTCATGTCCACGATGACTGTAGTATCACCAGATGAAGTCATATGTACTACAATGTCTGCGGTGAAATTACGACTTTCCAACTTGATTTTTATCGGGCCTGCATATTTCAGCTCATTAAAAACTATTGATGCATCCAATTGGCGGAGGGCACTGACCGGATCTCGAATTTGGACGAAATATTTTGTGAATCCATTGCGATATTCTTTATGGGCATGTATGGTAATGTATTATAAGAGCATTATGGTTTTTAACTGTAGAATAGAATACATTATTCCACAGTGTTTGTTATAACAATAATACTAAAATAATATAATTTAAAGGAGAAGGATTGTATTTTGATCATCCAAATTGGGTTTATCTTTTTGTGTGAACAACGATCCATGCTTTGATGCAAAAAAAATTTGAAATTTTTAATAATTTTTTCACTTTTGAATTGTGGTGACATTAATGTTTATATTAGCACTGTACTATCCATTGAGGGTTCGGACACACTTTAAGACTGAATCATTCGACACGTTCTTTTGTTCTGCAATATTTATACTTGGTAGCTTGTGCTTAAGGACGGTGGGCGATGGTTTAGGGGTACTCGACGATAAAAGTAGTAAGAGGGTCACTTTTCATAAAATCAGAATAAGATCAGAAATTACAATTAATAAATGCACGCCTTTTAAGTCATTTGTTCACTTAAAAAAAATTTGTTGTTGCTACATTATAACCTAAAATGTTGTATAACTGCAGTAGTCCTAAGTTGGTATGAAAATATGTTTTTATAGGAGAATTCATAAATATGGTATCAAGTATTTAGGAAAGGAATATTTAATTTTTATAGAACATAATAACATGGGAAACTTGCACTTACATTTCTAATTATTGTAATTTGAAAAGACAATTAAATTAATAATTAATATTTGTTTCTCCTATTACCTCAGTTTTAATATTGTCAAATAAATTAAAATACTCTATGATACATCACATTTCACTTCCTTAATGTTCTCAAAGTGTTATAGCCCCCATATGTATATAATATACATATTTTTTAAGTTTCACTATAATTAAACAATACAACAAAACATTAAAAACATTAATTGGGTAGATCATAATTGTTTGTACCTACCACCAGAAATATTTCAAATCATAAATTATACCAATCTATTCCTTATAACCTAATAAACTTTCAATGAAATAAAAAAAAAATAATAATTGTAGGTAGTTAACTAAAAAAAGGATTTTTAACTAATATTTTTAAGGCATTTCAGTATTTGTTATTTACCTTGGTCAATAATGAAATTATATTCTCAAATGTACAATTTGTTTGCAGAGCATTTTACGTTTTGTCCAGACCCATGGCATGGTGACATTATTGAGCGAAAATCATCATGTTGCCACAATTGTAAAAATGGTAATAAGTTATAACAATCAATGACTGACGGATTAGGATCTGGTGATATGAGAAATTCTTACATTAATATTGACATTTTTTTTTATATATAGATTAGGGCTCTACCACACTTGCCACCACAACGGATTCCAGAATTTCCCGAAGACTTCTACATTCTTGGGGATTTTCTGGCAATCACAAGGCTGGCAACTCGTATGGGCATACTGAACCGAATTGTTCAGTTAGTGGACTATGTTCGACAATACTGGTTAACAACAGTACGTCCATCTGGGTTTACTGTTTATGGTGTAAGTATCCGTACCAATAATTATGTGGAAAGTTTTCACAGCATGCTAAAGTCCACCATAGGCCTACATCCCCCAGTCTGGTCCTTTTACTGTAATTTATTTTTATACAAATATATAATTGATAATAACTAGAATGGTGATTGATTTTTAATAATATTTTGCAGATCGATTACGTTCCTCTGAAAGTAGAGTACAGAGGGCAACCTTACAAACAACCAACGGCCAGCAAGTAAAGCTTTACAAACTTTATAAGTTTAAATTTTTGAAATGGTTTTTTATAAATTAAACTTTAATTAAAGGTCCGAAGATCAAATGTGTCTAGCAGAGATACAAATAACTGCATTTTGGCCGATGCTCAACAAAGCGTACGCTATGGCCGCTATGACACAATGGCATATTTAAGAAGAGTTTCCTACTCAGTGAAAGGATACATAAATAAGCAAATAGTCCCTTTAGCTAATGGTTGGTACCACATAAATTCAATTGAGTGTATAAACTAAATGACAATATAATTGAGTTAAAGAAATCCTTCCTGAAGATTTGGGACAGCTACAAATACCAATGGTTGGACTTCAGCCTCTGTCACCTGTGTTGCCGCCATTCCGTATTCGTGGAGCTAGAAGACCTGGGGGCCGTGGTCGTCAACGAGCAGTAGCAGCAGTTCCACAAATGGTCAGACATCCAGAATGTCCAAATGTGCGCCAACAACCAGAAAGTGGCAACGTTCTATTCATACAACTATACATTAAAGATAACAATACATTGTATACTCTAATTACTATAAACTATAATCTAAAAATCAATATTATAGGAAATTTAAATAACATTGAGGCGCCCATCCAAATTCAAGGTAAATATATAGAAATAGAATGTGGTAAAAAATATATTGTGTCTTAACTAAATATAACTTTTTTGTTTGTATAATTAGCAAATAATGAAGACCGAAATGAGCCACTTGACCTACCACAAAACAAAAGTATGCTTTAGAATATTTCTTTAAGTAAATTGTAGGAGTGTCGTCCTTGGGTGGTTTCTCTACCCAAATACTTATGTATTGTAATTTATTATTTTACGCTCATATGCTTAATGCAACAGCATTGTAAAATATTCTAAGTAATAAATAAAAATATTCACTTACTCAATCACAATTTAATTTTTATTTAAGTTAAACAGCCAGATATCAATGATTTATCAGTGGAGGACTTTGGTCTATGATATAGTTGAGCTAGGCATAAATGATGCTCTTGTTGATGGTAGGTTGATTTAAAATGTTACAATACTCAAATATTATGTTAATAATTGTCTATTTTGTTTCAGACCAAATTTCTCCACAAGCTCACCAGCCACTTGATTTGTATAACCCTATGTTGGAAGGCTAGTTTTTTTATATTATTATTAGAATATTTTTTTGTTAAGAAAATGTTACACAGACTAATTTTGTTGTTTCTGTTTTAGAAGTGTAAAACACAGCAAATTGTACTCTCAGAAAATTACATTTAGCTCCATTAGTAGGAGTGAAAAAATTTTATAAGGCATCTCATAGACG